ATACCAACATGTGTTTTTAACAATTATTACATGGAAATGGCTTTATAAAATAAAAAGGAACACATTTTTTATTGATATTGTATCTCCTTTAACAATGTAGCCTGATCAAGAGGTCACCTTTCCAACGTCAACACGTGAATATTTATTTGACGTACCCTTTATGATTACAGATAACTATAATGACGAACCATTGTGCTTTCTCAGATATTTTTAATAGCATTTTAAAATAGTCAAAATATGTGCACCTTTAAAAATCTCAATCTAGCAAATGGCTGTCATTTAATAGTTCCAAGCAAGTATGAATGTCCTTGGCCAAATCACCTGGAATGTGCTTGACTTCATGAGATCCCAGAATACAAGTAAGGCTGAGCCTGGATAGTCATTGCATGAGCGACCACCATTAACATTTAAAAAAATTAACCCGTAAAAAAAAGTTTTTCACTATAAATCCTTTATATGCGTGGCGGCTAGAGTCCTCTCGTCCTCTGGCTTGAGATGGCTGCCACCTATGGGTCAGATGATTGCCTGCTACCATTAAGCAATTGGTAATTAAATATAAATGTTTTTTTCCTAAAAAGTGTAACGTTATGGTAAAAAAATTTCACGAAAATAAATTGTCACGCACAACGAGTCTGTGTGCAAAATGTCAGCTCGATTGGATCACGGGAAGTGGGTTATTTGCATGGTCGTAAGCGCACAAGCAAGCAAGCAAGTGAACTTAATATAAAGGATTTAATAATAATAAACAGCAGGCCGCTGTGGGGCGATGCTAAGTCCAGACAACTGTATTGTTGTACTGAACTATGTTATCACCAACGCTGACCACTGTGTTAAAGTATGGTCAAATAGCCCCCCCCTCCCACAACTCGCATGGCGTGGGATAGCCCTCACCCAGCAGTTTGTTGACAAAGAGGGCTGTAAATATATATATGCATTAAGACGTGTTTTTATTTTATATTGCATCTATGGTATGTATTGAGTGTTTGAGCAATTGTGTACATTCGTTTGATTTTGAGAAGAGTGCAAGTGCATGCAGCAGCGTGTACTCTCTAATTCGACTGAATATCTATGTATGTACGTCCCCGTGTGTGTTTTTGTGCATGAATGTGTCGGTACATGTATTTGACTGAAACTGCTTGTGTATGTTCCATGAAATGGCTATTGTAACTACATGTGTGCTTATACAGGCCTCCAATACTATATTTGTTGTACAATGTACTTATCATTGTGCATCTACTCCAGGCAAATGCCAGTCAAGCAAGTTGTACATTCATGTTTTCAACCAAAATATGCCAAATTTCACCCAGTATTTACCCATGACGCGAAAATACAATAGCTTACTGAAACTATTATGGTTGGATATATATTTTTAGACTGCTTAAAATTGGCGTAATAGAATCAATTACCTCACTATCATTATTTTTTTATGCAGTTTAAGGTCTGGTAATGGAGAGTGCATATAATAAGCAGGCATTGAAATTGCCATGCAATGGAATGTTAAGCACAAACCATAATATTCATATTTTTTCTGTAAAGAAGCCAGTGTTCCATGCACTTAAAGTTGGGTTAACTTAAATACAATATTTAACCCAAATCATACATTATTTTGTAAGCACACTGAACATCTAAATAAATAATCTTTTTATGATTATCTCACATATTTCCTCTCTCTGTAACCTATCAGAATCAAACTAATATATATTCTATTGCAGTATTTACAGTCCTGCTGCATCCATAGAATATTAAAAAGCAGCTACAATAATTAGCCAATTAAAAAAACTTACAAACCATCCTGATAAAAAAATTGAATTACGTGAATGTAACTCAATTTGATGCCATCAGCGAATAGTGTCCAGTAATTACCAAAAACTAATTTGAATCAACTGGGAATGTTTTGTCAACTCAGTCCGTTTTAATTTTATATTAAAAAAGCACAATTATTATGAAAACGTTAATAATTTTAACTCTATCCAAAGTACTTTGGGACTTCAATTTCTCCTTTTAAAATGAAGCAATGCTGTATACTTTTTATGTTTTCCATAAACTCAATTATTTATTCACGAATTATTGGGGAAGTTAGTATTTATTGACAAAGATGATTAGGGTGCCAGGTCCGTAGCATTACTTATTTGTTTTCACCTCCAGCCATCTATACATGATGAGCATCGTGCCTCCTATAATAAACTGCGAATGAAACAAGCATGGCATTACAACACCTGTCACATTGTTCTGTGGGAACCTAGTCACTCTACAGCAATTCGATGACAATTTACTCATTCATGTTTGGGGGAAGGGAAAGGGGGTAGAACAGACAGTGCACGGTATCATTTATGGATATAACTTTTTGAAATAATGGCTTAAGGAAAGCGTGAATCCTATCTCGAGTAGACACCTGAGCAAATCACAATAAACGCAAACTTCGTCAATAAAAGCATGTACACACTACGAGCGTGTATGTTGCATAGGAAACCAATTTCATCATAACTATCGATGACTTTGCTAGCAATGAGACGTTTTCTTGCAGTAAACTTCACCTTTACTCGGTCGACGGTGATAATGTTTACTAGCAGCTGTACATATATAATATAACTTGGTGAGAATGTTCCATTGGATTCCAAACTGTGTATGCACCCGCTGAGAAGGTAAACACACTGAACACATTATACGAATAGAAGAGTTATAAAATGTAATGTGCAGTCTTTGTCCAAGGTCCCTTGATAATACCCACAAGCGCAGGATCACTGCGAGGCACACAGACGGTGTTTATAGACAGCTGCTCGCATCAAGCATAATGCGTGGAAGCGCCACAGTGGGGGCACAACTGCCAGGGTGGTGTCTGCAGGTGTAAAACTGCAAGTACAATTTATCACCAAATGGAATATTGCACATACCACCGACTGTGCTGGTCTGCATCACTATTAAAGGATGTTAATAATGACAGTCATTTAATTATGGGGTAGATTATCCTGTACACCGTGGAATCTCAGAATAAAAAAAATATTGTAGCGGTGCATTATAAAAAAAAAAATTTTTACAATAATATACCATTTGCCAATGATTTATGGACGAAAGTCTCAAGATTAGTTTTTTTTTTCCATGGGGGCCCTACATTGGGATGTCGGGCCAACACCATCAATGTGTGACTTCACGTGGGAGGAAACCGGAGAGAATCCACGCAGAGGAAGGGGGTGATGCCCAGCACTACCTTCCCCTGTAAGCCACGCGCTGCCCCATGCTCACACCTACCTGACAAGCCCTGCCGATAACCCATTCAAGTACAGTATATTCCAGATGTAAACCCGCCTTGTGTGATCTGACTGGATTGCGCGTGTTTACGGTGATTTGATCATAAACACAGATGACAATTATGTTTTTTTTATTTCATTATGGCATTTTAAATTGTGTGTCATAAAGACAATAAAACATTGATGGAATGCAAATAAAGTATCTCAAAAGCATGTTTAAATAAAATAAGAATTTATTCAGAGTAGAAAAAGTGTGTGGGGGTGGGGGGGGGAGACTTCACAGTTCTTTTAAAATCGACAATTGAAAATGAATTCCGTCTACACTTTTAATAACCCCCACTGTGAAGGGGAGATACAGAGGCAGAGACCAGAGAGAAAGGAGACAGAAATACGCATAGACAGGGGAAAATACAGGGTGACATAGGGAGACAAATGGACTTGCTAGCGAATTGCAACAAAACCACAAAAAATACTCTTTTAATTTTGAATTCGGATTCACAATATGAGCGAAGCATTAAAGTGCTATGCGGTGTGCCCCTACTCTGAACAAATGGGTTACAGTATTTGCTTCATGACATGGCATTATGGTCCCAGCTGTCTGAGAGGACATCATCACCTGTCCTTGGCAATCCTGAGACGACAAGTCCTGCTTTGGTGGTGCTGCAGTTTATATGGCCCTCGTGACAGTCGACAGTGACTTTCAACCTCAACATAAATTGGGCAGCACATCCTGTTAATCACCAAGACAATTGGTTATCATCGACCAAGTTTTACTACATTGTGAATGCTACGCAATTTACAATTGTTTTCTAGCACAATTTCAAAGAGAATCAAACTTTTAATGGATTCGTTTTTTTATACTCAGCAGGAAGTAAATTTACAAATGTTCCTTCTTGGCATGCTCCATTTTAACCAAGCACGTTGAAAACACATGACAGGACTAACAGCTCCTATCATTTTTAATTGCTGGAGGGGTTGCCCCCCCCTACCTGAAAATCCTGGCTCCACCATTGTCTGCGTGAAAGACATGGCTTCTTCTTCTTTAGTGCTGCCTAACGGCGTGTGCGACTTCACGATGATATTGGTCCCGGTCTAGCACGGCGTGTAGAGTTTGTGCTGTTGTTAATTGTAGCCATGTGTTGATGTTACTGAGACATGGCTACACTAAACATACCATCATGTATGACCGAGATATTCCTGACTTGTAAAATTATCTACGAAGAAACCGTCACAGTTCAAACATGTCAATTGCTTGTTGATTTATTCAATTTCCCAGTGCTCGGGTAAATTTCTGTGGCACATTAGGAATGGACCACTCTTTTAATTGTTTTCTCGTGCAGCAAGGGAGTAAAGTGTGGTTTTGTGAAAGTCCTGATTGTGCTGTGCAGTACATCGATGCATGTGTACCCCAGCATGCGATAACGGAGTTGGGCCTGTAGGGGGCTGGCAAGGTTATTGATTAACCGCACTTGTACACCAGTCACATGGTTAATGGAAACTCGGTTGAAGATTGCTGTGTGTGACACACGTGCTGTTGCATCTTACAGATTAACCACAATAAATGTGTTTGCCCTCAATTTGGAGCACCTGCCCACGTCCTTCATTTCGAGTGTGCAACATTTTATGGCGAGCCAGGCAGGAGAGTTTCCCAGAGTACACTGATGGGGATCAACTCTTCCAACGAGACAGACCAAGAAATTGTACGGGCACCATATGTAAAGACAGTCGTGCAAGGATCTGAACGTTCTTCACATCATGGTGCCCAAGCCCCGCAAGGAAGCAGCGGCCGCGGCTCCGGCCAAGCCCGAGGGGGACAAAGGCAAGGGGCATCCTGAGGGCGGCAAGGCCCACGGGGCCGAGGGTGGCAAGGCCCGGGGGGCCAAGGCGCGGCCCAAGGGCGAGGCGAGGGCCAAGGCGCTGAAGGCCAAGAAGAACGTGCTGCGCAGGGTGCACACCTTCCCCACGTTCTCCAGGCCTCACATGCTGTGGCTGCAGCGGCAACCCAAGTACCCGCGCAAGAGCGCACCCACGCGCAACAAGATGGACCACTACGCCATCATCAAGTTCCCACTGACGACTAAGGTGGCGATGAAGAAGATCGAGGACAACACGCTGGTGTTCATCACAGACGTGCCCACCAACAAGCACCAGATCAAGCTGGCGGTGAAGAAGCCCGATAACATGGGTGATCAAGACAAATTATAAGCTGTGGTCATTTGGTTGTTAAGTTGTTTAAGATATTTTTTTGTTAGTGTTGTGTTTAATATGTTAAGAAGGGGTTATTGCTTAAGATGGAAAAAAATGGTTAGGAAAAGGTCTCAAGTATGTTGGTAGGCTGATATGTAAGTACCCAAGAACTAAATTCCACAAGGCATTATCTTAACAGGTACTGGGAAAAGAATCCTAACCATTTCTGATCCGTAAAATGTGAAGCATGGATAATTAATACCAGAGTGTCTGGTAATTCCAAAAGCATAATCTAATGCTTGGGTTCCTGTCTCTTTGTGCACAAAGAGTTGGAGCTCACCCAAAAAAGAGAGCTTATGGAGTGGCGCTATCTTGGAAGGGATATGATCTCTAGAGAAATTGTTTTCACGATTCTATAAACTCCTTTCATGACCAGTTTAAGAAAAAAGACTGCAAAAGGTTGCAAGGGGGAAAATGGAGTGTCGAAATGACACTCATTCTGTGGGGGAGAGTGTGGCACATTAGGAATGGACCACTCTTTAAATTATTTCCTCGTGTAGCAAGGGAGTAAAGTGTGGTTTTGTGAAAGTCCTTATGTGCTGTGCAGTACATCGATGCATGTGTGTACACCAGTATGCGATAACGGAGTTGAGCCTGTAGGGGGCTGGCAAGGTTATTGATTAACTGCACTTGTACACCAGTCACATGGTTAATGGTGACTCGGTTGAAGATTGCTGTGTGTGCATTTTACAGATTTACCACAATAAATGTGTTTACCCTCGATTTGGAGCACCTGCCCACGTCCTTCATTTCGAGTGTGCAACATTTCTGTTACGCGTTTACGGTAATTACATTTCACAGGTGTTATAAATTAAAAGTATCAATTTAAGTAAGAAAACCTCGACTACTTCCCATGTAAAACGCTCCATATTTCTTTATGCTTTTCAACACGAGTGAAAATACAGCATATTATGGGGTTGTCACATATGAGGGGGGGCGGGGGGGCACCAGGGAGTGGGGAGATGGGAATGTTGGGGGTCTATCGTCCAGCGACGGGGTACTTCCTCTGGTATCTAAATTCTCTTGAAGCAAATGGAAAGATACTCCTCCGCTAAACACCGTATTGAATGTGCTTTTGAACATTCGGCCAAAAATGATGCTGCATTCAGGTTAAAACAGTTTATGAATAGTTTATTCAAATCTTGCATTAAATGTTAGTGTCTGTTCGACGGCCTTCAAGTTCACGTAAATCTCCTGGTATGGAATATGACTCCTTACAACATGCAACCTGCCACATTCTTAAATAATCCACAAGACATTCCAAAAGGTTATGGATCACCTACAAAACCACGTATTTCATGTTTTTTCTTCAAAGGCAAATATATTTAAGGAGTCTACATCACTCCGGAATTTTTAAGCGGTTTGTAAACTGTAGATGTGTGCCGCTGTAGAGTATATTTTATGGTAAAACAAATATTATGCAGCTTAACTTGTGATGACAGCCAACACCTCATATACCATTCTATAGCCAATGGCAAAATAATATCACACCCCATTTGAGCCAACCTCAATTTCACCAATTTCACCACGTGAATGTAGCAGTTGTACAATGCAATATAGTAAACTGTGAATATAGATATTTTAAAAAAATGTGCACTGTAAATAACTCAATTAGATTCTTAATTTTAGAGCAATTAAATGTACAAATTAAGTCAATTAAAATGAAACCACTTATTTAGTGATACTATGTTGGCAGTGATGCACAATAAACGAAAATAGTGTCCATGAGCTGCACTCTCTGTGGCTGTAAAGAACGTCCTTCGCCCAAAACGTCACGTGTCATACTCTACAGCTGACGCTTTCTTTATAAGGCAGTGTTATTGACGCATGTGAGTTTTTTGTTACAAAAATGGTAAGCTTATTTAACCTTAAAATATACTCATTGTTATTCCTGAAAAGTGTAACTTCACCAGACGCCTAATTTTGTAAACAAACAAAAATCCTAAGCACCTTTGAAAGGGTAATTTCTCCATAATTACGATAAATAGGAAGGTGTCTTCGTCAGCAATCCAGATGGAAACGTAAATAAGCACCACGCTTTAAATGGATGAACTGCCTTACCGTATGAGCTTGATATAATTCAGTTTAATCTCCACCTCCCCTCCCCTCCAACACAGGGAGAACCATTAAATAAGGGCAAGTGTCAGTCAGTCAGTTTATTTCAGGTAGGGCCCACTGAGCTAACAAAGCTCTTTTTCAGTGACGATGGGTCGTTGTCTTAATGGGGTAAAGAAGCACGAGGGGTCGATGGGCTATGACTTTGTCTCGTATAGCCTGCAGGCACATGAGGCGTAACACTTCTCAATGGCCGACAAAGTAGATTTATCCATCACTACAAGCATCTCAGCTGTGTGTCTATTTCGAAAATGGGACATGACATCGATACGTTAGTGCGAGGAAAAAGGCACAGGCATTGCAATACAGTGGCACCCCGGAGATCGAACTTCATTCGTTCCAGAAGGCCATTCGAACACCGATTTGTTCGAACTCCGATTTAATTAATTTTCCCCATAAGAATTAATGTAAATTACATTAAATGGTTCCAGACACAAGAAATCTCTAATTATAAAACATTTTTACACGAAGTTTACAGTAATTAAATGCTCAAAATCATACAAAAAACAAGAAACACAATAAATAAATGGAATAAATGAATATATGGAATAAATGAAATAAATTTACATTGAACTTCACTTTACCTGTAGTAAGGAGAGTTGATGGCTTGAGTGGAAGGTGGTGAGGAGGAAGAGGTGGTGGTGTTATTGTTTGGAAGGGGAGTCCCCTTTGTCTGGGCAAGCGTCATGCACGCTGGCCATACGCGTCTCAGCCGTACAGGCTTTTTTCAAGTCGTGATTGCCCGTTCGACCTCCAAATTTCGTTCGGTTTCCGGGGCAAAAAATGTTCGGAAATATCGTTCGAACACCGATTTGTTCGAGTTCTAGTGCGTTCGATCTCCGAGGTTCTACTGTATTGCGCTATTGGTGAGCCCTAATTTTTTGCGGTCTTGGTTAATGTTTGAATAATGCTAAACACAAAATGAAAAGGTTCCCCATCTCTGCTTTAAGATCTGAGGAGCTATACTGGACAGGGTTACCCCCACTGGTTCTATTATAATCGGTGAGAGGTGAAACAAAATGTGCTCCCTTATTGAACTCGTACTGCCCTGAATGGTAATGTACTGTATTGTGAAGCAGCACCCATAACTTCACAGATCCCAGTCCCCAGCAGCTCTGGGTGCACGAGCCATAACTTTGTCTGGGGAGGTGAAGGAGCAGGGGTTCTAATAATCACCGAGACATTTTATAGGCCAACCATTCACATGAGCATGCTGGATTATTTATTTCAACCACTGACTATATACTTCTGCATTTGAATATTGCCACGCTCGACAGATACATCTGATGCTCCAGCATTATAACGACGTCGCTACGCAGGAAAGCAGTGGTGTCTGCATCCACTTCAGTGAGCACATCACCAACGCTGAGGTTCCTCGTTGAACAGCATCTACTGTGGTCTGCGCGGTTGGATGCCTCGCGCAGAATCATCAACAGCCTACCGTGGGACTGGAGCTGACCTCTGGGCAGACCACGATTGACGTGGACGCGCACTGTTGAGGCTGACATTCAAACATCACCGTCTTGGACTGTGCTCAGCGTGGTGGTGGTGGTGGTGTGCTCAGGATAGGGTCATCTGGAGACATCTTGTGGGGACCACTGCACTTTGGCCAGGGCCAAGCGACTGAAGATGATGATGATGAAGATGATACATAAAACATGCATACTCCTCTTCAGAGTCAAACCTTGCTGAACGGGAGACAACAATGGGAGAAATAAATTCGGACGTAAAAATAAATTGAGGTGAGAAGAAATGAGCACACTCCATATATGTCAATAGTGACAACGCTTTCTATTGCAGAGGGTGACATGACAGCAATTATGGAGGTGTGTATTTCTTAGCGTTTATGTGAATCAAATACGGCATTTTAGAATTCAATCGTAATTCAGAGAGAGTTGTTTAGTTAATATTAAAGCTCTCAAACCACTACAACATCAATGTATTTCATACGTAGGCCCCAACAGTAAGTCATGCTGATGTAGCATTCCGAATGTATGAAGAAATGAACCAATTTGTAAATGGGCAAAACACACAACACTATCACGTTGGGAGACGTCAATGCAACGTGAGGGATAAGGAGCAGAGATAGGAGGATTGGTTATTATTACATCAGAGACAGGAAAAACAGAGGAAAGCATATATTAGAATTCACAACCAACAGGGATATGACGGTTACCACTCATGGTGCTGGAAGGATTAGCAGAAGGCTCAAGAGGATGTGACAGATGGTGCAAAATAAGTTCAACATACATACATAGACTAGGAAAACGTATTTAAAGTCATTTTAAACTGATGCAGTCATCAAGCTCTCATTAACGAAGGCCCTATTCAGAGATACAAGATCAAACCCATTTAAAATATTTAACAGCTACAATTATATTGTGTGTAACAAATTAGTAGAGGAGTCAGGAAACAATATACAAGGCTACTGATAGAATAATTAGAAGATATGTTCCGAAAATTTGAATGAACAAATAAAGTCAAACATTTAAATGGAGAAAATATTCACCATCTGACATTTGCTAACAACACTAAAACAAATAATAAATATGAACGATAAGAAATGGTAGAATAAAAAAAGGCTGCAAAGTTGAGCTCAAGATAAAGAGCAAAAAAAGTCACATCTAAAAGTTTGTACAAATTAAAACAGCCATTTGAGGACACAACTGAAAAACAACAGCCTAAAATGTATACCTTGGGCAATTAATGAAGGCAGACTGGGATCAAAGTTATGAAGTAAAGAGGCACCCAAGAACAAGGTGGGGTGCTTTAGAAAAAAATTTTTATCATAAATATAACAGAGCAATGTGTTGCAGAAGAACGTTTTCAATCAGTGCATATCATCCACTGTGACATGGATTGGAAATACGCACTCTAAAATAACGTAACAAAAGTTG